CCCCACTGGTCGACCTCCTGATGGCACCTGGTATTTCTGGCCACTGTGTGACACAGAGTGTTGGACTGGATGGGCCTTTGGCCTGATCCAACATTGGCGTCTCTTATGATCTTAACCAAGGCCAGCATAAACATACTACCGACAGGGAAAGGAGGGTAGAGTAGGGAAGCCTGTTACCTCCTACTCCCCTACTCTGTTGGCTGGATGTCATTTCTTATTTTATTTTTCTTTCGCTTCACACATGCCTATCTCCCCAATGGGGACCCAAAAGGGCTGACATTGTTCTGCATTTTACTAGCACAACCACCCTGCAAGGCTGAGAGGTTATGACTGGCCCAAGGTCACCTTCCATGGCCGGGTGGGGACACAAACCTGGGTCTCTCGGATCTTGGTCCACCACTCTAACCACTACGCCACTGGGATGCTTGAAGAGTGTCTTAAGCTCCAGAGGTGTGGACTACACAACCAGCTCCCCACCTCCACTGCTGGCTCCTCAGGCCCACTGGGACGTCAGCACTTGTGGGCAGAAGAGCCTCCCCAGAGAGGGAGGCATAGGAGACAAAGTGAGGAGGAGAGCAGGAAGGGAAGAAGGGAAAGTCTGCTTTTCACCTCTCCCGGTCCATTTCATCCTTCTCCACCTATCACCTAGCCCTTTCACGTACTTCAATGCTGCACAGGTCCCAGTAAATTACATTCCAGTTATCACAGTCATTGGGTACATGTGCCTTTGGCCAAATTCTATGCCTTGTATCTGACAAAGGGAGGAGGGGGAGGAGAAGGAAGAGGAGAAGGAAGAAGAGGAAGAGGAGGACGAGTTGGATTTATACCCCACCTAACTCAGAGTTTCAGAGTGGCTTACAATCTCCTTCCCCCTCCCCACAAATGACACCCTGTGAGGTAGGTGGGGCCGAGAGAGCAGTGAGTGACCCAAGGTCACCCAGCTGGCTGCATGGGGAGGACTGGGGAATCAAATTCGGCTCTCAAAAGCTCATACCCCCCCCCAAATATTGTTGGTCTCTAAGGCATTACTGGACTCACATAGAGCTCTTCTACCGCAGACCAACATGGCCACCCTCCTGAAACTAGTAAGGATTAGAGGAAGGGTTGGGTGGATAAGGAAGCCCAGAAGAAAATGGTGGACAGGGGCTTAGTGGCTGGGTTTCAGTGGCCAGTAAGAGCGGCGGAAGAGGATGAAGCAGCAGCCTTAGAAGAAGACAAAGAGGTCAGTGAAGTCCCACTTCATAGCCATCAGAGGCCTTCCAATGGAGGCACTAATAGGTCACTGTGGAAACAGGATTTGGGTGTCTGTCGGTTTCCCCCATCCTCACTGGAAATTATCTGAAGGCCAAGAAGCCTGTTCTTATTTGCTCATTTGGGGGAAGAAAAAGGAAAAAAACCCACCCTGTTTGTTATAAAACGTATGTTCCTAAGCTCCCCTAAGCAACAGGCTTAGAAAAGTGAAGAATGTAAAATTAACCGGAAAGTATGTAACATTTTTATGACCCTCTAATACCCGGATAATGCGATCTCCGGGCAAACTCTATGCCTTTTCCTGTGGTGAAAGCACAGACTGAATTTTAAATTAATTGCAAGTTAATTCTTCAAACCCTCATCCGGTGTTCCGTCCTTGCAAAATGGCTGCTTTGTCCCGTCACTGAATCCGGCGGGAAGACTAAGTGAAAATTGCGAGGATTTTGTGCAACCCTTTTCAGCTTCAGCAAAGATTAGGAGGAAGTCTCCCAAAAATTGTGCACGGAAACACGAGAGCGCCTTACTGGTGCTGGTCCAGTCCCCTTGGGAAGCCCCCGTGTGGCACCAGAGTGCATCTGGGCCTCAGGGAGGCCACAAAGATACCATTTGCATGGTGCGCCTGCACGACACAGAGCCTTTCCAGGAACATCAACACTAAGCTGCCTCCCTAGGCGAGAGATTTTTGCTTGTTTACTTGGGGAGTAGGGCTAGAGACCCGGGCGCTGCATGACGGAGTGAGCTCCCGTCTCTAGTTCCAGCTCCTGCCAACCTAGCAGTTCGAAAGCAAGAAATTGCAAGTAGATAAATAGGTACCACTTCGGTGGGAAGGTAACAGCGTTCCGTGCGCCTTGGCGTTTAGTCATGCCGGCCACATGACCACGGAAACGTCTTCGGACAGCGCTGGCTCTTCGGCTTTGAAACGGAGATGAGTACCGCAACCCTAGAGTCGGATTCGACTGGCTTTCGAGCAAGGGAACCTTTACCTTTACTTATTTAGGGCTAGAGGATATCTAAGAAACCCTGTTCCCCTTGCCTTGCTCAGGGTCTCATAGCACAAGCAGCGGGGGGGACTGTGGCTCAGTGGTAGAGCACCTGCTTTGTATGCAGAAGGTCCCGGGTCCAATCCCCAGCATCTCCACTTTAAAGGACCAGGTAGGAGGTGATGTGAAAGACCTCTGCCCGAGACCTTGGAGAGCTGCTGCCCAGATGGGGCTGACCTTGATGGCCCATCGTCTGCAAGACCTGAGAACGGCTGCTAACGACAGGACGTTTCGAAGTGTTGGAAACATAGGGTTGTCAGAAGGCGAAAGCGATTTGATGGCACTTTACAAACACATACCATGATGACCATGACCAATACAAAAGGCTCCAGAGACCCTATTTACCAGAAAAACGGAAGGGCATGAAGGGCCCCTCCTAACTAGGCACCGGCAATGGTGCCAGGATAGACTTTACAGGTGGAAGGATAAGTCTGGGCCACTGCTGGGCTTGGAGCCAACACACCTTAATATACTGCATTTTTATTATTATGCTATGTAAGCTGGCATGCTGATTCTTCTCTGGATCAAAACATGAGGCAGAAATCAAACAGCCACTTTCCCTTTCCATGGCACTGTGAATTTTTTTCCTCTACCAATGTACAGTCTTCCTTGAGCAGGGGCTGAATTCCTAAGGCGTTACCACCACCATCCACACAGAGAGGCCTTGCTTTCTAGGGAACTATAGACTCAAAGTGATTCCCGTAAACACTCTAAGAGAGGAACAATCAGAAAAGGAATCGAAAACAGAAGTGACAAGGAACAAGGAGTCCTCTCATTCCAAACGTACAGTGAGTGGCCCTCTCTTAATCCCTATAAACCCAAAGCAAAGGGAACAAGCTGCAGTTCGCAGAAGAAAGTATTAAGGGGGGGGGGATCCACCAAGATTAGAGGGGGAAACCATATACAGAAAAACAAAATCAGTCATTTCCGGGGGGGGGGGGGGGGGGGCGTCCCAACCAAACCTGGAACAAGGAACACAAGCTGAACTCAAGCCGAGTGAGCTCATCACACGGGCCTCTGGATTAGCTTCTGTACACAACTCAACAAGAAGCCAAAACGGAAGACTTTGCCAGTGCAGCGCAGAGGCTAAAAGCTGGCGCCATCAACCAGGAAATCACCGGTTTGAATTTCACTGCTGGCATGAACTTGCTAGGTGGCTTTCAACAAGCCCACCCCGGCCCAGCTATTTGGGAATAAAGAATCCCAAACTACTTCACAGGGGTGGCATGAAGATCACTGGTGTGACGCTCTTTGAAACACTCTAAATGGCTGTTGGTGGTGGAAAGTGTTATTAAGTCGCAGCCGGCCTACAGCAACCCCACAGGGTCTTCAAGGCAAGAGACGTTCAGAGGTGGTTGTCATCGCTTGTCTATGGCTTCGGTCACACACACGAAATAATTCACTTTCAATCCACTTTCACACTGGATTTTTACTGTGAGAACTGGCAAAATCCAGCTGGAAAGTGCACCGAAGGTGGACTGAAAGTGAATTATTTCGTGTGTGTGACCGCAGACTCTGTGCAGCAACCCTGGACTTCGTTGGTGGTCTCCCATCCAAGGACTGACCAGGACTGACTCTGCTTAGTGTTTGAGATCCGATGAGATCGGGCTAGCCTGGGCCGTCCAGGTCAGGGCTCTAAAAGGTTGCATATTTCATTTTGGCCAGTTATCGCCACTATGCTAGATCCCACACAGAGAAACTACCACTTAATTGATCAGAAGAGCTTTCTTTCTGGGATGCAGTTGTTTCTCAGCATCAATCTATCTAGTTTAGTGATCCCCGGCATGGCACCTGGGGAGACACAGCAGCTGCCAAGGTGTTCCTTGAGGCCTCCTTGCTTTTTGAGTCTTGGGGATAAATTCCAAAAGGTCTTGAATGGAATGGGGGAGGGGGAGCTCTGGGCCCCTCCTTACCAGCTGGCTGACTAGCAAACCACTGAGTTTATCCCAGGCATGGGCTCAACTTGGCCACAGACGAAGACACTCTTTTGCCTCTGGACTTGGAAACTTCTCCCTGTAGCCGCGTAGCACACCCCTCTTCCCAATCTGGAAAAGGGACTAAAACAACATCTCCACCAATGCAATGAGCCGACGTTGGCTTTCCTCTAACTCCTCGCTGCAGAAGACACTTCAGAAGAGCCCCAGGAAGCACTGCCTTTGTGTCTGTAGGGGAACTCCCATTCGGAACCAGTCACTTCTGCCCTAGGAGGACCCTTGGCCTGGAACTGCTCAACATCTGCAGAACCTCCCAGCACTGGACATGCCCTTTGACAGCCATTTCTCTGATGGTGCCGACTACTCTTTCTCAGAATTCCAAAGGTCCTTGCAGATACATTGGCTCCCCCAACCCAATCTATTTATCACATTTTTATCCTGCCTTTTCTCCAATGAGTTCAGGGTGATGCTCGGTTCTCTTCTCCTCCTTTGGTTTTTTCTTTCATAGCAACTTTGGGAAGTAGGGTAGGCTGAGAGCAAGTGAGCGGCCCAAGGTCATGCAGAAAGCTATTCAAGAGCACATGTCATGTGGACTGCCTGGATTTGAACCCAGATCTCCCAGGGCCCAAGTTCAACCATCTGGCCTCTGAACCACGATGCTTCTCAAGGACTTGTTTCAAGTCTATGGCTGTCTTCCTAGCTATACTCAGTGTCTGCTTCTGTTTGTTTTGTTCTTTGGACAAGAAGTAATTTTTTTTAAAAAAACGGCACTTACCTGAGATTGTCTTAACAAGTCACTGTCGTTTTCGTTGTCCTTGCTAGAAGATAAAGAAACAGTTCGCATTAACAAAGTTCGAGTCCAGTGGCACCTTTAAGACCAACAAAGTTTTATTCAAGGCATGAGTTTCGTGTGCAAGCACACTTCCTCAAATACATTGAAGTGGAAGTTAACAGTTCATATATATAGACAGATGCCTCTACATAGGTGAACAGCAAATTAGCATGCAAATTAATGGACATGTTTTGACACATGTAAAGGCCAAACATCAAGAAAAAGCTAAGCACATATGGTCACCAGATCACCATTTGTTTTGGATTTAACAGGGGGAACAGTGTAGTAATAAATATTAAAACACTGTCGGAGCCCAGTGATCCCCAACAAGGAGCTCCCGGGCACCCACCAATTAGTTTTCTGATGCCCACAAAGCAAAGAGCCAGTCTGGGTTTTCTTCCACTTCAGTGAAGTGGATGTTCCTTCAGAAGGGTCCAGGATACCATACTTGATCTTAGCCAGAAGGCTGAATATGGTCATTGACCGTAAATAAATTAACTAACTAACTAAGAAGGGTCCAGGAAGGGTCACGTCTGTGTGTTCACAGAGCACCTATTCAGAAATAGCTGTTGCTCGGAAGGATGCTCGGCTAGGAACTCCTCAATGTTTTACTTCAATGTTTTATGACTGGCCCCGTCCCCCCATAATTTTGCGATTTCTAAGCAAGTCACCTGTCTTCCGAAAGCACCTCCATGTCATCTTGTCCTCTTCTGTCCAGAGGCCTCACAGAGCCAAAACTTTCCATCATCTATAAAACATCAAATATTCAAGACCGTTGTTAAAATTTCACATGTGATGTCTTCTCAATCTAGACTTTGTCGGAAAGATTGTGGAGAGGTAGGCACGTATGCACACTGCTGGTGGCAATACACAAAAATTAGACAATTTTGGGTGGATGTACTGAATCAAATATGCTCAGTCTCAGGTTACTGTGTTCCTTTCACACCTGAAGTCCTGTTCTTGAATTACTGGCCTGAACCTACAATTCCTAAAATTAGAAAAGATCTAATCTTCACTTTACTGATGGCAGCGAAAACAGCTATTGCACTCAATTGGAAAAATAAGCCAGCTCTGACATTATGGCATTGTAAAATCTGGGAACAATTTGTGATGGAAAAAATATCAACTCAAATATAACATTATGACCCACACTCTCCATGCTTTAATTTCATTGAAAAATGGTCTACAGCACTGGAATATTTGGTTTAACAAGTGGTTATTCCAACAGAGCTTAAAGCTCTCAATTTACTGCACCTATAGACAAGTACAGGCATCAAGAAAACAGCATTGCTGCCACTATTAGACTAATATCCTACTGTCTTTAACAGTAACAGTATGATAAAATATAATTTACCTTTTCCTTTGTAGATATTCTTAATGTAGATGCTTAAATCAAAAGCACTATGTATGTTGACAATTACGGTGTATTCTATTTTTACTTCTCTGTTTGTTTAATTGAACGTTTTATTGATTGATTGTGATTTGTCTTAGACTTGTATGTAAACCGCCCAGAGACACTTCGGGGTCAGGGCGGTATATAAGCTGAATGTATAAATAAATAAAATAAATTTGAAAATCTTAATGTTTTTTGGGGGGAAACTTTTGTTTTTCTGTCTCATGAAAAAAAAAGCATATCGCAGCACGCAAGCTTTGCAATAGATTTAGTGAAACTCAAACAACACAAAGGGCAGTTGTTGTTGTTCAGTCGCACAGTCGAGTCCGACTCTTCTCGACCCCATGGACCAGCTCCCGCCAGGCCCTCCTGTCTTCCGCCGTCCTCTGAAGTTGGCTCAATTTCATGTTCGTTGCATCGATGACACTGTCTAACCATCTCATACTTTGCTGTCCCCGTCTTCTTTGACCTTCAATCTTTCCCAGCATCAGGGCAGAAGTACAGATAAAAGGGGCATATATGGCAACGTGTCCGGGGCGGCACTAGCATGGTGCAATGACCGCTTCCACAATGCCCCACCAAAGAAGAGAAAGGTTGGCTCTTTAACGGGAGCGGGTTGGGGAGCTAAAAGTTAATGTGAACACAAAGGTTGCCACATACAAATCTACTTGTAGATATGATGCAAAAACCTCACAGGTAACCCTTCTCAAAAGTCTCCTCTCCTCGCCACGCCACGCCACGCCACGCCAACAACAACTTTCTACAGGCCTCAGCATCTTCTGCTGCACCAACTTTCCCCTCAGTCTCCTGGAAAGTCAGTTATTCATTTCATCCCTCTCCTACCCCACAACTCTCACACAGTTTCCAGAAACGATCCTTGTAGGCCAATACCCTTTCCCTCCTTTAGCCCTTCAGTGTAAGCCTTCGCTCCCTTTAGGTTTCCTTATCTCTGACAAGAGAATAAGTTTCTTTCTTGAGCTGCCCGAGAGCCAAACGTTCACAAGGAACCCGGTTTCCCAAGTTCCAGTTTGGCAACCCGATAACCAGATACCTTCTCATCCTTTCTGCCCTCCTCTGAAGTTCTTATTTGCATGGCGTAAGCAAGTCCCCTGGAGTTTATGTGTGTAGTGGCTTAGGAAATAAGCAGGGCCTCAAGATCTGAATAGCGTAACATTTGGTACAAAAGCTAAGCTTACAACTGTCCTGTTTATAAAGGGGGGGGGAGTGTTAGAACATACAACTGTTGACCCTAACCAAAAAGAAAAAGAAAAAAAAAACCCAGAGGAAACATTCTACCAGCAGTTAACCCACAGACCAAAAAAAAAAAGTCAGGTGTTCAAAAATTTGTGGGGTTCCATGAACGGTGCTGCACTGCATCCAACCCCGTTCCCTCCCTGCATCCTATCCATCAGCAGGCGCAGAAATGTGTTTCTGTGCAGCGTGAGGCATCAGTGATGCCTGAGCCTGCAGAAGGAAGACCCTGAGGTTGTGTCAGCAATGTTCACACCTCGCTGCTACGGATGGCCAGCTTCCGCTGTGAAGGTCAAAGAGGGATTTCGAGCAAGCCGCGGTGAAGAACTGACAAGCTGGAGAGCTTTGGCCTGCCTTCTGACTGTTCCCATGCCTGCCATTCGCTGACGCGAGTTGAGGCAAGTGACATTATCGCCAAACACGGTAGGTCAAGTCAGTCTCCCTTTTCCTCAGAGAGCGCACAATTAAGCTGCCTCAAGCTGTCAGACATGGGGACTGTCACGTGTGAGGAGTACTTCACTGTCCACACTGGAATCTTTCTAGCCTTATAAATAGCCACAGGACTGACTGCCCAACCCGTCTCCAGCTCTCCCTCCCTCCTCATCCTAGGTTCTTTGTACCTGCCATTGTCCCTGGCACTGCATCAGGGACCACTGACAATCAAAAGCCTCCGCATTTCTTTTTAAAAAACAAACTTTAAAAAGAAGAGCAGAGGAGGAATGACAGTACAGCCTACCCACTGATGGGCCAGATACAAACAGCCACAGAATTTGCCATGTATCAGCACGAGGTAGTAGCTGCTGTTACCTGGAGAACAAAAGAGGGGTGGAACTGCACTCGCTTGGACAATCCACTGCAGAGCAGGGCATTGCGGGGTTATATAATACGGTATTGGAGCTATGCCGAAAAAGAGACGAGAGAGAACTCTCCGTGCAATGGAAGGGTTCAAAATTAAGTCTGCCCCAGGCCTGAATAGCCCTGAATAACCCAATCTCGTCAGATCTTGTAAGCTAAGCAGGGTCGGCCCTGGTTGGTACTTGGATGGGAGACCACCAAGGAAGTCCAGGGTCACTAGGGAGAGGCAGGCAATGGCAAACCACCTCGGCTCATCTTTTGCCTTGAAAACCCCATGGTCCTAGGGTTGCCGTGAGTCGGCTGTGACTAGATGGCGCATAGTAGTAGTAATAATAACCAGGGCTATTTTTGGGCAGGAACGCACAGGAATGGAATTCCGGCTGGCTCCTGAGTTGGCCACGCCCAGCAGGAACTCATTAGCATAATAGGCCACACCCAACAGCAGAAACTCATTAGGATTGGCTACATTAGGGGTGTGTGGCCTAACATGCAAAGGAGTTCCTGCTACAAAAAAAGGCCCTGGGTTTTGACAACAAACAAGGTAAACAGAATAAGAAGCAAAAGGTTGGTGTGGCTGGATGGCCACACTTCTGGTAACATGTGGGTGTGGCCTAATATGCTAATGCGTGGTGCTGTCCGGGGTGTGGCCCAATATGCTAATGAGTTTCTGCTATCGGGTGTGGCCCATTATGCTAATGAGTTCCTGCTGGGCTTTTTCTACAAAAAAAGCCCTGATAATAATAATAATAATTAAATGGCCAGGGTTCAGTCCTAGTGGGCCAGGGGGCTTGACCAGCCAGCATCCCACCAGGGTGACAGTTTCACCACGCCCATCGTTCACTAAGGGACAAATGTCATAGGGTGATCCTATTTGCTGCTGTCTTACAGTGACTTTTTGGGTTTTGCCGCTAGCCAGTGACTCAGACCAGCCATTTGCCATGATCAGGGGCATGAAGCCGAACACACGAAACTGCTTTGTACTGAATTAGGCCAGCTGTCTACTCAGACCGGCAACGGCTCTCCAGGGTCTCAAGTGGCGCTCTTTCACATCACCTGCCACCCGATCCTTTCAGCTGGAGACGCTGGGGATTGAACCTGGGGCCTCCTGTGCGCCAAGCAGATGCTCTACCACTGAGCCACATCCCCTCCCAAGATGGAGGCCAAGAGCGCTACCTCCCAAGTCTCCAAGGAACAAATCTGGAAACTACACTAGCCAAGCCAGAGTGGTGTTCGGATTAGGGTGCCACTCTCAGATCTGAGAGACCAACGTTCAAATCCCCAGTGAGCCACTCTGTCTCCACTCACCTGGCTCACTTGGTGGTTCTCAGGATAACATGGGGACGGGAGAATCAGGCATGCTGCCTTGAGGAAGGGTGGGATGAGAATGTTCTGGATTCCTTACCAGAGGGCTATCCTGGTTGTCATTAAGCTCAGAAAGTTTCGTGCTGGATTTCTGTCGCTTTGGTTTGCTCCTTTCTCCAATGTACCCGGAGCTGCTCTCTTGCAATTTTTCAACGTCTTGCGCGGTCAGCATACATTCCTCGATGCTGCTGAAGCCAGAAGGAATGTTCTCTTTATTGACGACCTCCCTTTGTAGAAAGAAATTGCAGAGTTATGGACCGTTTCAGCAAGTTCGTGAAAGCAAAGTCAGGAGTTCCTCGAGGGGGAAAGCCCTCCTTGGATTCAGAGCTAGTTTACTTGCATTATAAATCTGTATTCTACTGGTACTGACCTTTAGGTAGCTACAAGTCTACCTGCAGTGTAATTTAAAGGCAGATGACAACCTGTTAAAATTTCTCTGGGGACAGATCAATGAAATGGGCGCATGAGACTGCCATAAAATTAGCACCAGCAGTTACATTGACTGCAAGGAACTCGACGCATGATGGGCTATCTTAGCTTCTGGAAACCCAATGACCAGGTATTAACCACCTTACCAGGTATCAGGAACACTCAATGTGATGTAGTGGTCAGAGTATCAAGCTATGCCCTGGGAAATCTAGGTTCAAACACGATACTTGCTCCGAGATCAATGAAATGGGCGCATGAGACTGCCATAAAATTAGCACCAGCAGTTACATTGACTGCAAGGAACTCGACGCATGATGGGCTATCTTAGCTTCTGGAAACCCAATGGCCAGGTATTAACTATCTTACGAGGTATCAGGAACACTCAATGTGATGCAGTGGTCAGAGTATCAAGCTATGTCCTGGGAAATCTAGGTTCAACCACGATACTTGCTCCATGACCTTGGGCCAGGCGCTCTCTCTCTCTCTGCCTAACCTACCTCCCAGGGTTGTTGAGAGGATAAAACTGGGAATTGAGAATTGGGGACATCATCCTAAACTCCTTGAAGAGGGATGGGAAAAGTAAGTACTAGACGGAAGATGTTTGTGTACAAAGGAAAACTTAACATCTGGATGTACTTCACTTAAAAAAAAAAAAGATATGTTTGTTCTGTTCAAACAAATTGCCAGGTTAGTGTTTTTGTCTGTCATTAGCACAACAGGAAAAAAGGGGATTTGTTTGACTGGAATTTCCCTCTCAAAGCTTGTTTCTAATTTGTATGGATTATTATTACTTTACCGCATAATCTATTATGTAATCAGACGCCGCATATGCATGGACTAATTCATCAACTACAATATCAAGGAAAATCTTTGCCACAAATCCTCTGGGTTACTAACTGCCTAGGAGCCAAACACCGCCACCCAAACAGGAGGGGAAAGTATGGGTCAAGTCTTCCGTTATGTCTGCGAATTACTTTGTAGGACAAAAAGCTCTGCTTATAGCAGCAATTAAAAGAGAATTAGTTTTCAGCACACTGGAAAGCAAAACAGGGCACAGCTCCAAGTTTTGCCAGACTTGTTATATATATACATATATAAAGAATTGTGATTATTTTCTCTCTCTCTACACACACACACACAGAGAGAGAGAGAGAGAGAGAGAGAGAAAGTAATCACAATTCTTTAGTCCCAAACTTATTTTTCTGGGGATGGCAAGACACAGACAAAGAGTAAACATTAAACATGAACATTAAACAAGACATTACACCACCACGCAAATGAACTAGGGTCTAGGGATCATGCTGCAGGATCTGTCCTTTCTCCCACCTTGTGTATACATCCCCCCCCCACACCCCTTCCTCTATCCAGGTTCAATCATCACATGGAAACAGTGACAACCTGATTGATGCAGACCTTGAATCGGGGCAGACACAACATTCTCTGCGGTCAGGAGACTGGGAGCACCTTGAGGGTTCGCACACTCCTTCCCCTCTCCCCGTCTCCCTTTCACAACTGAATCCCCCCTACCAGGCCGCGTGCAGCATTACGAGAAACCAAGGTTAATGCTAACCATGATTAGTTTCAACCCTGTCTGCAAAGATGTTTCGAACCCTGGTTGCAAACTGTGGTTGGAGTGGACCATGGATGCCATATCAACATCAACACAGAAGTGGCACTAAACCATGGTTAGCTCTGAAAAAGGACAGGAATGGAGAACCCATGCAGAAGAAAGAAAAGAAAGGGGAAGAATGCGTATCTCCAGACATTAAGTGCTCATCCCTACAGCGTCTGGTGGCTGCCCTCATCCACTCTTCACTGTCACTACAGGAAGCGCATTGTCGTGGATTTTTCAACCTTTGGTCACCTGCCACTGTGCCAGCCTCTTGGGTTCATCCATCTTCACTGGGCTGATTCATACACTATGGGCGCTTTCACACATGCTAAATAACACAGTTTCAAACCACTTCAGCAGCCGTTTACAAGTGGATTTTGCCATTTCACGCAGTAAAATACAGTGCAACGTGCACTGAAAGTGGACTGAAAGTACGTTATTTAGTGTGTGTGAAAGCACCCTACCTAACAGCCACAAGTTTTCTATTTTTGTGTTATTCATTTTTATTTAAAACATTTATATGCTGCTTTTCCACCTAAACATCGAGGCAATAAAATGTTTTAAAAAGTACAGGAATAAGCACATAAAGTGCTTCATCCGACTGTCTTACAGGCTACCTGCAGTTACCACCATGCAAAAACATGATGTGTAAGGCTATCAGATGCAATTAATTTACCCACAAGTTCCACATCAGTTTCCACAGTAGGGGAAAAAACGCCCTTCTGTGCAGGAATTTAGTAACCTGCAAAGTGAGCCTTGCTGAGCTTCAAATGTGCAACGCATCAACCTGACCCAGCAGCAGTGGCCTCCAGCGGGTGGTGTTGATTGTGGCAGAACACCATGTAATTTGCTAAGTCAGTTCCAAAGGACAGCTTCCTATCCTGCTTTCATGCATGTCTGATTTTATATGAAAAATATTAGACAAATCAAACACTGAGCGATAACAAATATACGACAAAACAAACAGCAGCGGCCTTATTCAGCAGGCAACAGAGGCAGCTGCCCTGGGCCCTATGCTTGGGGGGGGGGGGTGGGGTTGCCCAAAGAAGGGGGGGGAGCAGAAAAGCAGAGCAGGTCTCTACTGCTGCTTGCAACTGCTCTATCTGGGGCTTGGGGATTTCGATAGTAACTGGGGCTCCTTCCCACCTTGCACAGGATGAGGGCCTCTCCTTATTTGACCCCGTCGTGCATGGGGGGGGCGTGGTAGTGATTCAGGGGCCCCATCCGGACTTTTGCCCAGGACCCTAGATTTACTAAGACCTGAAGAGAGGATCCAAATCTGACTTCCTGCAAAACTGGATCTATCTGCACATCATAGCTGAAAGCAGAGAATAAAGTCAATCAGGGATTCATTACACGGTACGTAACAGGCTAACTTACACAGGGGTTTCTCATATGTTATCCCTAATGCAGACAGTAAGAGGGAAAACAGACTCCAGCAAAATGAGAGACTCGAGACATAACGTGAGGTGCCATGTGATGGGTTCCACTTTAGATCTACGCCAGAGGGGCAGCCGTGTTCCCGTGCAGCCCCCCCACACACACACATAAAAAGGTTATTTATTATGGTTGAAGTTTCGTGAGCTGGAACCCGTTTGGTCGGGCTCATCAAAGGCTGCAAAGCTAAAGAATCAACTTCTCCGAAAGGCACACTCACCACACTTCTCCACAATGGTTTTTGAAGCCATGTTACTCCCCCACTTTAAGTAACTGGGCAAATCTGCAGAATCGGGGATTCCGACAGTCTTGCCATTTACTGAAACGTGGGCTCCGGCAGTAAGAGAACTGGGGCTTGAGGGTCGAAGTGAGGAAGCCGCAAAAGGGCAGGCCTGCGATTCAGCGAGAAGGCAGTGGCAGGGGGAGGCGCAGAGAACGTCGCTGCAGTGCTATATGCTAACAAACACGTCCGCCAGACCGGCTCTGACCTACTTACCCAGGAAGCCCCAGTCACCACCCAGAGACCAGAATGAGAAACACCATTTCAGACACATATGGGGGTTTGGAACCCACCCACCACTCCTTCCCAAAGGGGCAATCAACTTTCCTTCTCCTTTAATTCGCTTTTTAAAAAATCATTTTATTTTCTGTATCGTTGGTATAGTCCTCCTGTCAACACGGGGAAAAAATTAAGCATTTCAACTATTCGGCCTTGTGACGGCGTTACTTTGTGGTACCAAGGAAAATATAAAGCTGTCGTGCACCCAGTCCGAACACTGGTCTATCTAGCCAAGGACTGTCTCTTCCGGTTAGCAGCAGCTTTCCTATAAATCAGACCCGGTTCCCAGCTCAGCTACTGGGGTCTCCTTTCGGCTGCAGATGCCACGGACTGAGACTGTGACCGTCTAACGTGCCAAACCATGGGCTCTGCTCCTGAGCAGCAGCTCCTCTTCCATCCCCTCTTGCCGGCACGGAAATGCAGGGAACCGGATGCAACTGTGCCATCTAATCCCCGAACAATTGCAAGGGCTGGAATGTTACTTTTGGTGGATTTAACACAGCGGGCCTCCAGTTACTGGAGACACACGTGCAAATTGATACCGATGTTGAATCAGCTGATCTGTACGGGCAGTCCTTGTTTTGAATACAGAATTACAGTCCGTGCTCGCTGCCCGTTTTTGTTTTGGCGGGGGGGGGGGGGGGGATCCAACCGTCTTCCTGGCAGCTGTCCTCCAGCCTAACAAGCCTTCCTCCAGATTCAGTGGCTCTTCGTCCAGCGGAAGAAACTCTTAATTTGGAGAGAGGATTCTCAAACTGGAGGAGGGCTTCAAACTTGAGCCAAAAGGAAAGGTGGGGTATCAATGTTTTAATTAATTAATAAGTAAACTTTGCTCAGTGAAATGGCAGGACAGGGGTAAGGGTCCATTCCACTGTTATAGATCAGGTGGAGATGGCAGACTGTCGGGGTCCCCACCCTTGAGGAACGGCCTGCTTGAGATGGTCCTATGCTTCTGCCATTCCATAAACTATGTAAAACAGAATTGTTCAGAAAGGCACGTGTATAAAAGGAACACGACTCAACAGTACTGCTGTATATAGTATATATTATCTCTTTGCTGTATTATGTTGCTCTCACTGCTTTGTTTTTTGCAATTTCGTTTTCTGCACTGTTTAACGCTCTATGCGTCGTTTCATATTGCTGTAATCCTAGTCCTATTACATTGCGTATTAGGTGTCTCCTCCTATTGAATAAATTGAACTACGCTGGGGGATCTGCCTTGAGTTATCACTGAGAAAAGCAGACTGTAAACAAAGTAACAAAGTAACAAAAACTTAATAAAACAGCATTTGACTCTAGGGTTGCGGTGCTCATCTCCGTTTCAAAGCCAAAGAGCCAGCGCTGTCCGAAGACATTTCCGTGGTCATGTGGCCGGCATGACTAAACTCCAAGGCGCACGGAACGCTGTTACCTTCCCACCAAAGTGGTACCTATTTATCTACTTGCAGTTTCTTGCTTTTGAACTGCTAGGTTGGCAGGAGCTGGAACTAGAGACGGGAGCTCACTCCGTCATGCGGCACACTCAAAGAGCTATATAAATGCCAAGTATTGTTGTTGTTATAGATTGCCACAGTGGTCAGTATTTCAGCTCTAAGGCGGTTTACAATAACGACAATTAAACAAACAAATTCAAATTTAACACCAAAATCCAAAAAAACAACCTGCAAAAGCTTAGCCAAACAGCAGCCCGCAGCAGGTCCATCAAACAGAGCACCAAAGCAAGCACAGAGACCGTCACAAAACCTGACTGATGGAACCGATGAAACTAAATTTTGCCCTCCCCTGAAAAAAGAGAGGAGGAACTGCCCCTGCTGAACCTCACACCAGAC